CTTCACATTGCCACTGTAATTTAAGCTACTTAAAGGCATATTTAGAAATCATCATGCAGATACATGCAGCTGAATGAAATGCTGAATTAACATCAGATGAATTGCAACAGACTAGATCACTAATAAAATAACATTATTCTTATTTCCAGAGACCAGTCTGACTGTCCAGAATCCACGGAAATGGATGGAAATGCCCTATTTAAGGTGGGTTATGTGTTTAATGTGTGTACTGGAACCATAATGGTTGAAACAAACTACATAGTATCTTGATGTGCAGAACATAATCATAGTGTCGTAATGCAAGGTTGTTTTTGAAATAACAGTGAAGGTCATTCTCCTCTGTTTGTTGCAGCTGGTGGAAATCCAAGGCATTGACATTTTGATGAGTGAGATGAGAAGGTATAAAAGGATTCTTTTTCCACACCTGTCACAATCTTCAGGGAGTGACAAGCAGGATGAAGCCAGTTTAACTACTGAAAACACACAACAAGATGGAGGTGCTAGTGAGGGCGTTCTGAAGATCACCCTCCATGTCTTAAAGGAAATAGGCCAAAGGGAGCTTGCTAACAAACTGGAGAAACGTAAGTAGAAACAGTACAGAAGTACAGGATGTAATGTATGAGTTTTTGTGATGTGTTTTTGAATATATTCCTGATATATTCTGTTCCTGTCCCCTCTGAGATTTAAGTAGTTCAAGGCAAATTCTAAGAAAACAAATGTGTCTCTTGAAACAGTATGCAAACTATACAGTGACTTTTGGGGAGTTCACTTTTTTAGTTTTTCATGGTCTGAAACAAAAGAAACAACATTTGTAATGCACTGATTTAGATTTTACTCACTATTATTCATATTAACCCTATTTAGGACTTTCATGTTGCCATACGTAGAAGGTCTTTCAGGGTCCACTGGACCCTAAGAAAGAATATGTGCAAAATATTTGTTGGTATTCATTATAGACTGTTATATATGTTAAAGAAATTTTCTGATAAGTTGATGTATTTTTGGTTCCAAATGAGCCTGCAAGGTGGATCAGTGGTTAGCACCATTGCCTCGCAGCTAGAAGGTCGCCGGATCGCGTTCCAGTGAGGACACCGGGATCTTTCTGCATGGAGTTTGCATGTTCTCCCTGTGCAGTGTGGGTTCTCTCCGGGTTCTCCGGCTTCCTCCTACACATGTTGAGGTTAATTGGTGATTCTAAATTGTCCGTAGGTGTGAATGTGAGTGTGCTTGGTTGTCTGTCTCTAAGTGTAGCCCTGTGATAGAC